GGAAATAAGTATTTGATCCCCTGCACAAAACATGACTTAGTACTTGGTGGCAAATACCTTGTTGACAATCACAGAGGTCAGACGTTTCCTGTAGTTGGCCCACCAGGTTTGCACACATCTCAGGAGGGATTTTGGCCCACTCCTCTTGGCAGATCCTCTCCAAGTCAATAAGGTTTGGTGGCTAACATTTGGCAACTCGAACTTTCAGCTCCCTCCACAGATTTTAAATCGGATTAAGGTCTGGAGACTGGCTAGGCCACTCCAGGACCGTAGCCTCTCTAGCGGTTTGATTATGTCCATATTTCTGTGCTCAAAGCGGTACATTTTTTTGCATGGAAATATGTAGTTTTTTTATTGTAGGCTGTAATTTTTAGGAATAACTCACTGAAATCTGTGCGAACAAGAGTCTAGTAAACATCCCGGGTATGTTAAAATTTGAAACACAAAATCATAAATTATGATTTAATAAATAATCATAAAAAATAATAATATAATAACAATACATTTAATTCAATAATATAATCAAACCAAAAACACTGAAATTTTAAATATAGCGCCAAGTTCGCACATCACTGACCAAGTCGCAAAATCGTTTTCAGTGTCTGATGATGAATTTCCCCACGAATCATTATCACTCAATTCTGCAAGTGGTTCTAATTTACTATCGCTGTTCTCTAGCTGGTCTAAAATGGCTTTTGACCTAAAGGGACGCTTTTTGGATGCCATGGACATTTCTCAGTTTCAAGGCAGAAAGAACAGTAAAAATGCAGGCAGGGCACATGACAAAGCACTCAGGACAAAATGTATGTTAAATGGTTTGAAACAGTAATGTTTTACTATGTGATTTTAGTGAATGTCATTTTTAACATTTTAAAATTTCCCGCCAGTTCCATCCCCGTACATCCTGACGTCGCAGGGAACGGAACCCGGAAGGCAGATGCCTGCATCGGCCGGAGGACATTGCCGGGGACACTGCAGGAGGGACATCGCGGGAGCACAGGACAAGGTAAGTGAAGAAGAGATCCTGGAGCAGCGCTGCAAGGTATTCCCGAGTGTAGCTCGGGGCTACCATTTGTGGTGCTGAAACTTTACCCTGAGCTACACTCAGGAATACCTCCAGGGAGGTTAATGTTGCCTTGGCCATGTGTTTTGGGTCATTGTCATGCTGGAACACCCATCCACGACCCATTTTCATTGCCCTGGCTAAGGGAAGAAGGTTCTCACCCAAGATTTGCCCTGTCCATCGTCCCTTGCGGTGAAGTTGTCCTGTCCCCTTAGCAGAAAAACACCCCCAAAGCAGAATGTTTCCACCACCATGTTGGACAGTTGGGATGGTGTTCTTGGGTTCATAGGCAGCATTCCTCCTCCTCCAAATACGGCAAGTTGAGTTGATGTCAAAGAGCTTGATTTTGGTCTCATCTGACCACAACACTTTCAACCAGTCCTCCTCTGCATCATTCAGATGTTCAGTGGCAAACTTCAGACGGGCCTGGACATGTGCTTTCTTGAGCAGAGAGACCTTGCGGGCACTGCAGGATTTCAATCCTTGTCGGTGTAGCGTGTTGCCAATTGTTTTCTTGGTGACTGTGGTCCCAGCTGCCTGGAGATCATTGACAAGATCCTCACTTGTAGTTCTGGGATGATTCCACACTGTTCTCATGATCATTGACACTCCACGAGGTGAGATCTTGCATGGTGCACCAGACCTAATGAGACTGACAGTTGTTTTGTGTTTCTTCCATTTGCGAATGATTGCACCAACTGTTGTCATCTTCTCACCAAGCTGCTTGGCGATAGTCTACAATCTTGTCCCTGACATCCTTAGACAGCTCTTTGGTCTTTGCCATGGTGGATAGTTTGGAATCTGATTGTTTGATTGCTCCTGTGGACAGGTGTCTTTTATACAGGTAACAAAATGAGATTAGCAGCACTCCCTTTAAGAGACTGCTTCTAATCTCAGCTTGTTACCTGTATGAAATAGCTGAATGATAGGGGATCAAATACTTATTTTCCTCATGAACGTGAAAATCAGTGCATAATTTGTTAGACATGCATTTCTTTTGAATTTTTTGTTGCTATTATGTCTCAGTGTTACAATACACTTACCATTTGATTTTTAGACTGATCATTTCTTTGTGAGTGGGCAAACATTCAAAATCAGCAGGGGATAAAATACGTATTTCCTTCACTGTAAGCCCTGACCCACCCTTTCCTGAGGAGCAGCCAATTGGTGCTCATTACACTGCAAGGTCTCTCCCCTCCCTGCTAGTCCCTAGGTGTGGTGCTGGAGAGGGGAGAAGGGGATAAACAGCGCAATGTGAAAAATATTAAACGTTTAAGTCGACCATAAAGCCACTTTTGTTTTTAAAAGCCCCAGACATTTCTAATATCACCTCCGATTTAAATACAGTTTTGGTTAAAATGTATTTTTTTTTATCTGGACAAGTAGATTGTCATGTGGGACAAGTATATTGGGGCACCGTTTTAGTCCCTGGACAAGTAGTTTTTTAAAAAAATGTCCACACCCCAGAACATGTCTTGTTATAATTTTTTAGTAAGTCACATTTCTGCATCATAGTTACAGTAAGCCCTCATGCACACTGGATGTTTTGATAACACTGGTAACATTAGCTGTTTAAAGTCACGTTAAAATACAGGAGTTTTTCAGCTTTCATTAGCATTTTTGCATTAGCGTTTAGCTGCTCTTTGCCGCATTTAGCGACGTTTTTCCAAGTTTGTGTTTTTTAGCTTTTTTTTTTACCCCCATTTTTTTTCTTGTAAAAAAAAAAGTCAAAAAATGCCAGTTTGCGGCATTTTCTTGTGCTTTGCTGTGTTTTTCAGAGTTAGACCATTTTACAGCTAAAAAACTCCTCTAGAATCCCACTAGTTCTGGGGGGTTTTTCCAGCCAAAAAAAAAACGTTGATTACAGTCTATGTGTGCATGGACACATAGGACAACATGCTGGGGGGTTTAATGGCTGTAGAAAAAAATGTCAAAAGCCAAAAAAAATGTCAAAAGCCGCTGTAAAAACGTCAAGTGTGCAGAAGGACTAATTAAGTAATACTTCATCTGATGACTCCATGCCTGAGGCTCTTTACCTGATCTCTCTTACCAGAAGCATTCATTTGCAAGAAGAGCCAAGGACTTTAAACATTCTGAAGTTGGTTATTTCACATTTTCTCCTGAGGCAAGCTCATTGTTATGGAAGGTTGTGCACCACAGAATACAATATAGTCCATTGAGCTCCACTTTAACATGATACCAATAATAGTCGTGATAGCAATAATTAAATCTCTGCATAGTTAGTTAGAACGTCAGGTCCTGAGCTCACACATCCTTTGGTTATTTCTTGCCAGTGAATGAATTAAGGGATGGGGTTAATGAAATGACCTCACCAGAAAGGTAAGTAGAAACTATTCTTAGGTGGAGAAGATCTGGAAGGTTTGTTTTGGCAGTTCTTAGTTTTGATCTTTTTGCAGCTAGAAAAACATGTGAAGACTTAGTAATAAATGGTCTTTCTATTAGTGAATTGTTAATATATTCATCAATGCTATGTACGCAATGTAACATGCAAAAAAGACAAGCTTGTGAACTTTAGAATGGTGTGGGGACTAATGTGATGGACGGAGGTTCTGATCTATGCAGTGCTACAGAATTTGGAATTGCTTTATCACTGGGAAAAACTAATAAACCATTGCAAAGTAATAAAACAGTATGATAATCATCAAAAATAATGAGAAAGCTGTGGTGATACAAGTAGGGATGAATTTAGCTAAAGTTGTTTCAAATTTGCACAGACTTTTTTTATTATCATTTCTATGATCAGTATTAGTTTTATCATTATGTTTAGACAGTAATGTTCTGTATTTCTCATATGCTTAACCTAACATTTTTTAAACAATTTCCTATAATTCTTTTACATGAATATATTTTTTACTATCTATATTTTTTTCTATGACATTGCTAACGCAGTCTCCAAAAACTTTTCCCTTTTTCACTTTTTTTCTGTTAAATTAGCTGTATACAGGCTCCAAGAATCAACCCTACTTCTTCGCATCTTCAAAGTCAAGCATCCAATTTACATGTAATGATCTAAAAAATATGTCAACACAGCACTACAAATAATTTGTCACACAGCACACTCCGTAAAGTATTGCCTGACTTCCTTTTTTTGCTACAAGTACATTTTATATAAATTATATATCGGGTAAACACAATATTTCTTTTAGTGTCATATAAACTCCATAGCAAACTGGTTACTTCAAAATGTAACTATTCCCTTCTTTCTTGATAGGCATACTTAAAGTGTAAACTTTTGAATTTCTATCCAAAAGAAAGTTTTCTTTTTCTAAAAATGTTTAGCTACAGATTTTCTGTAAATAGAATATGATATGTGTTATACCAAGCCCGTACAATACTATAGGGTTAATTTACTAAATAAATAAGTAATGTTCAAAGGGAATAAAGTATAACCCCACACCCTTCTGAGGAAGCTTCAGTGAAAAGGGTTATTATGTGTATGGGGAGGGGGCCACATCCTTCAATGTGTGTGGTGCTTCTCTTACTGGGTCCTCCTCCACCCTCATCAAACGTTTTGGATGTCTTCATCCAGACTTATTGGGAACAAGCACAGTAGCCCCTCCAGAATCCTTGGGGTTGGGGACACTCTTGTTAGTGACTATGGTCCAATCTGGGTGGACTGGTGGGGGGTTAAGCCTTTTCCTTTGTTGCCACATATGGACATGTGGTAAGATGGCTATGTCCCACGTGTTTACCCACCTGGGAGGTGATTTGTTTATCCACCATTATTGTTATACAGATCATGGTTCATTCATGCATGCACTGTATTTACAAGGCTACCATTTAACAACATTATCAACACATATATACAGCTTTTACCATCTGGTCTTTCTGCAAACTTCCTCAGTGTGAATATTTACACACTATTTCAGAGTTGTGAATGGGCTACTAGGCTCTGAACCAGATGTCCTTTGATGGTCTAGACCACGGGTGTCAAACTGGCAGCCCTCCAGCTGTTGCCAAACTACAAGTCCCATGAGGCATTGCAAGATTGACAGTTACAAGCATGACTCCCAAAGGCAGAGGCATGATGGGACTTGTAGTTTTGCAAAAGCTGGAGGGCCACCAGATTGACACTCCTGGTCTAGACTGTAGATATTATGTTCAGTAATATTGTGTGTGTAAATATTGGAGGGCACAAGTTAGCATTGAATTTTGTACTTGCATATCTTATTACCGGCACTTACATAGCATAACATTTATTTACAGTATTTTGCCAGTGGTATACTGTATATTATTTGCGGTAAATAGGTGCCTATATCTTTTAAGTTTGTTGGACCCGCTATAAAGTAAAATTATGTTTACTTTGAATAACCAGTCGTATGCAAGGAAATTGAAAAATCAGAATTTGGGTTTGCACATAATTGTATGTGAACATTTTTTTGCTACCAATTTAGTAAATTAATCCCTTTATAAAGTAAAATACATCATTTATGTGTTATTGTTGAAAACGAGGCACAATTGTGAATTCAAGCCATGCAAGATTATTGGGCTGATTTACTAAGGGAACTGATAATCTTTATACAATAAGCTGTGTGAGAATTCACTTCAATTAATCATTCATTTGAAAAATTCCAGTTCGCTTTCAATATCCAATCATGTGCACATTCAAGTAAACATGAAATAGCTTTTTACATAAATGGGTAATTGAACGGATACTCACCCAATGTATTATATGATGATTCTTAACTCCTTTTTGTGATAACTGTAAGCTGGTCAGAAACATATTATTAACTTATTATTACTATATTATATTAAATTATATAATATTATAGTATAGTATATTAAATGATTATTAGAATCCCTTCTTGTATTAGGAGAGGTATAGACTCCAGAGAGAGAGATTTCATTTTACCCCTGTACAAATCATTAGTAATACCTCATCTGGAATATGCAGTTCAGTTTTGGGCACCAATTCACAAAAAGGATATTGGGGAACTGGAGAAAGTACAGAGAAAGGCAACCAAACTGATAACAGGCATGGAGGAGCTCAGCTATGAGGAAAGATTAGAGGAACTGAATTTATTCTTTTTTGAGAAGAGGAGATAAAGCTCTTTCCCGCTGTCCTATAGTAGAAACTACTCTACAGGGCGGCAGGGCTGTGCAAAATCACGTATATGTGATTTGCATTTCTGGATAGGGATTTCAATTACCAGGTCCCAGCCAGAAATTCCCCACTGGCACCTGGCAATCGTCGGGCAAAGCTGACAGGGGAAAGATCTATGTGTAAACAACACAGGTCTCTCTCCTGCCAGCAAGGACATGCTGCTATGTATTTCTCTGCACAGCACAGCAGAGAAATACACAGCAAAATGTCTCCTTAGTAAAACACACATAGCACATGATGTAAAACACACACAGCACACTGTTAATCCTTTAATCGCCCCAGATGTTAACCCCTTCCTGCCCAGTGTCATTAGTACAGTGTCAATGCTTTTTATTAGCACTGATCACTGTATTAGTGTCATTAGGGATGTCAGTGGCAGTTAGTCAGTTTCCACCCAGTGTCAGAATGTCTGCCTCAGTCCCGCTATAAGTTGCTGATTGCCGCCTTTACTAGTATAAAAAAAAAATTATGAAAATTTCAGTATATATACCGCCATTTGTAGATACTATAACTTTCAAGTAAACCAATTAATTTGCATGTATTGGGATTTTTTTCACAAAGACATGTAGCTGAATACATTTTGGCCTAAATTTATGAAGACATTTGATTTAATTAAATTTTTTTACTGGATATGTTTTATAGCAAAAAGTCAAAAATATATTTTTTGTTTCAAAATTGTCGGTCTTTTGTAGTTTATAGCACAATAAAAAAAAAAAACGCACAGGTGATCAAATACCACCAAAAGAAAGCTTTATTTGTGGGGAAAAAAATGGATATAAATTTATGTACAACGCTGCATGACCGCACAATTGTCAGTTAAATTAATGCAAATCGCAAAAAATGGCCTGGTCAGGAAGGGGGGTAAATCCTCTGGAGGGCAAGTTGTTAAGGGGGGATATGATCAACATGTATAAATACATAAGGGGTCCATATAGTGAACTCGGTGTAGAGTTATTCACTTTACGGTCATCACAAAGGACAGGGGGGCACTCTTTAGGTCTGAATTTGAATTGGTTACTGGTTGAATTGGATAGACTTTTTTCAACTAGACTATGTTCTTCTTCCCAGCCTCCTCCTGGTGGTCTGTCATAAGAAATGTCAAAGCCAAGGAGGAGCCTAGGGGAAGCTCCCCTGGCTCTGTTAGACTAGTGTGACAGGCAGCAGCCAGCAGGGAAATATACTGTTTTATTTATTAAAATCTTATTGAGAGGCAATAGACTGAACAATATGAACAGCCTAGTCTAACTTAGCCACTGTGGTCAGTTGCACAGGGTGTACTCTGTAGAGGGACAGACATCTTTGTTGAGTGCTTTCTTTTCTGTCCACTATCCTCCTTAACTACTCTGCACTGCATGAGTGGCTTTTTCTGGTTACTTGCAAGATATAATGTGTATTTCTTCACTTTGACAGATGACAATGAGAAAGGTTAATCAAAATCTAGCAATGAGCAGTTAAAACTGCAATATGCCAGTAGATCAATGTTCTAAGTGGAGACCATCATGACAGAGGGCAGCTGGAGAAGCAGAGTAAGATTCTTAAAGTGTTTGTAAAGGCAGAATGTTTTTATGCCTGAAGGTAAAAAACCTTATGTAAATTACCCTGCCACCTACCATTACACAGAGCAGGTAAGTATGACGTTTGTTTTTTAACAAAAAAAAGATTTAGAATCACTTTAAAGCCAGATTTCAGTAATAACAAGTAGGCTGAAGAAGTTGGAGATAAGAAGGTAATTGATAGAGGTGAGTTTTTTACAAATCGAACAGGCCTTAAAGAGAGTACATAAACAGGTTGGGCTGGCTCACAGAAGAAGTGAGATTTGTGGCCACTGCCAGATGAACAAACATGCCAGTTCTGGGGGTGAGAGTTGGATGGTGGAGGGCCAAGGTAAAGAGTGATATTCCTGGAAAGTATATGAAGCAGGAGGGCGAAGAAGTTGACATGGGAGCGACATTTACATGAAGGGACATAGTGTGTTGAAGATTATGACATTGTGCTCAGAAAGAGCAGGAGGTGATGAGTGCAATAATAGAGAGAGGGCAGGAATGAGGGTGTTATGCACAAGCCGTGGGTTGTAGGGGATGGATAGAGGGAGTAAGATGGCCAAATATATGTACACTTGCAGACTGTTTTGATGGCAACACTATTGTTTGTACTTGCCTTCGCTGTTGTGCAAGGGTACCACCAGATGGGTCCTTCGGGGTGCTGAAGCACCCCAAAAAATTATTTAAGCACCCTCATAGCATCCCCAAAATTTACACACTTGAATTAGAAAAGTAATGTCACACAATTTTTTTAAATAATATTTTGCCTGCATGTCAGCGTGACAGGGAACATCTGTGGACTCTTTCTTATTGAAGATGGATACAGAGCATCTGGCCAAATAAGCTGCTGATCTTCAGTGAGTCCCGGCAGGGGGACTGATCCCATTGCTGTGCAGAGGTGCTAGGATTTAAAAACACTGGGACATGTGAAGCCTCTGTATTTGCCAGCAACTCTAAGGAAAGGAAGGAAGGAGATGTCTACTGCCCGGTCCAGCCCAGCCCAGTCTATGGAGGAAGGTAATTGTGCTCTCTGTCTCCTTGCAAAGCAGGCCATGCCCAGCACCTGCCCCTCTCCCTCAACACCACACCAGCCACCACCAGGCAGACAGGAGCTGTGTTCTTTCATATGGAGCCACTGCTTGGTGAAGCCAGGAAAAGAGGAGGGGGGTTACTATCCCAGCCCTGGAGGAGGAAGGAGTGCTTCTTCTGAAATGCTGTCTGTGCCCGCCCCCTCTTCACCACAAACTCACTTGCCTGTCTGTGTTCCTTAATGGAGCCACCTGCTGAGCTGGGACAAGGAGGCGGTGGATGGACTGGGGGGAGACAGACTCCAGTCCTCATCTGTGGCAGAAGGATAAGGATTGTTAATAGGCTGTGCAGTGTGCCCGCCCCTCATCACCACACTACACCGGGCACTTATGGAACTGTTGAGCTGGGACAAATCCAGTCCTCATCCATGGTGGCGGCACAGCAGGCACTGATCTCAGGGCATGATTGCCTGGTCTAGATCTCTAAGGGGAATCCAGTGATCTGAGCACTTTTATTGGGCCCTGCAGTCATTAGAGTGCCCAAATCAGGTGCACCAATTTAGAGTGCACCAATAAACTGCCTGCTCTGGGAACTCTACGTGGTCACTCACCAGCTCTGGGCACTCTGAGGGGTTACTTGCCTGCTGTGGGTACTCTGAAGGGTCACTTAGCTGCACTGGGCACTCCAAGGGATCACTCACCTGCTTTGGGTCCTCTAAAGGGTCACTCACCTGCTCTGGGCACTCTAAGGGGTCACTCACCAGCTCTGGGCACTCTGAGGGGTCACTTGCCTGCTCTGGGGACTCTGAGGGGTCACTGACCTGCTCTGGGCATGCTGAGGGGTCACGCACCTGCTTTAAGCACTCTCCTACTCTGGGCACTCTAAGGGGTCACTCACCTGCTCTGGGCAGTCTGTGGGGTCACTCACTTGCTCTGGGCACTCTAAGAGGTCACTAACCTGCTATGGGCACTCTGAGGGATCACCTGCTCTGGGCACTCTGAGGGGTCACCTGCCAGCTCTGGGGACTCTAAGGGGTCACTGGCCTGCTCTGGGCATGCTGAGGGATCACTCATCTGCTTTAGGCACTCTCCTGCCTTGGGCACTCTCAGGGGTCATTCACCTGCTCCGGGCACTCTAAGGGATCACTCACCTGCTATGGGCACTCTAAGGGGTCACTCACCTGCTCTAGGGACCCTGAGTGGCCACTCACTTGCTTTGGGCACTCTGAGGGGAAACCCCTCTTTCTCAGAGCACTTTAAGGGGGAACTCCTGCTGTGGGCACTCCGAGGGGTCATTCACCTGCTCTGGGCACTCTGAGGGATCACCTGCTCTGGGCACTTTGAGCGGTCACTCTCCTGCTCTGGGTACTCTAACGGGTTACTCACCTGCTCTGGGCACTGTAAGGGGTCTTTCCCCTCTGGGCATGCTGAAGGGGTACTCTCCTGCTCTGGGCACTCTAAGGGGGAACTCCTGCTCTGGGCACTCTAAGGGGGAACTCCTGCTCCGGGCACTCTAAGAGGGAACTCCTGCTCTGGGCACTCTAAGGGGAACTCCTGCTATGGGCACATTAAAGGGTCACCCACCTGCTCTAGGCACTCTTAGAGGTCACTCACCGGCTCTGGGCACATTAAAGGGTCACTCACCTGCTCTGGGCACTCTGAAAGGTCACTCTCCTGCTCTAGGCACTCTGAGGTGGCACTCTCCTGCTCTAAGCACTCTAGGGGGGAACTCCTGCTTTGAGCACTCTGAGATGTCACTCACCTGCACTGGGCACTCTAAGGGGTCTCTCGCCTGCTCTGGGCACTCTTTGGAGTCATTTACCTACTCTGGGCACTGTGGGGGCACTCATCTGCTCTGGGCAGTCTGAGAGGGGAATCTCCTGTTCTGAGCACTCTAAGGGGAGAACTCCTGCTCTGGGCACTCTGAGGGGTCACTCACCTGTTCTGGGCACTCTAAGGGGTCACTCACCTATTGAGGGCACTCTAAGGGTCACTCTCTGGCTGTGAGCACTCTGAGGGGTCATTCTTCTGCTCTGGGCACTCTGAGGAGTTACTCGCCTGCTCTGGACACTTTGAGGGGTTACTCACCTGCTCTGGGAACTGTAAGGGGTCCCTCACCTGCTCTGGGCACTCTGAGTGAACACTCTCCTGCTCTGGGCATTTAACGGGTCTCTCACCTGCTCTGAGAGCTCTGAGGGGCACTCTCGTGCTCTGGGCACTCTGAGCGGTCACTCTTCTGCTATGGGCACTTTGAGGTGTCACTCTCCTGCTTGTGCACTCTAAGGGGGCACTCTTCTGCTCTAGGCATTTTGAGGGGACACATACCTGCTCTTGGTGCTCTGAGAGGTCACTCCCCTTCTCTGGGTACTTTGAGGGGTCACTCTCCTGCTTGTGCACTCTAAGGGGGCACTCTTCTGCTCTAGGCATTTTGAGGGGTCACATACCTGCTCCGGGTGCTCTGAGAGGTCACTCACCTTCTGTGGGTACTCTGAGAGGTCACTCGCCTTCTCTGGGCCCTCTGAGGGGTCACTCCTGCCTGCTTTGGGCACTCTCAGGGGGCACTCTCCTGCCTGCTTAGAGCACTCTGAGATGTCATTCACCTTCTCTGGGCACTCTAAGAGAGAATTCCTGCTTTGTGCACCCCAAGGAGTCACTCCTATTCTCTGAGCAATCTAGGGAGTCACTGTACCGCTTGCGGCTAATGTGCCCCATGCTTGTGGATCATTATGCTGTGCTGAGTTTTTTCTGTTCTGTGCCAGGGGTTAGTTATTATGCTGTGCTGGGTGTTATGGCTGGCCTTGATATGTACTGGCCCTTACACTTGCTGGATATTATTGCTGACCCAGACACTGGCTAGGGTTTATCATTGCTGGTTCCATTTGGGATTGTTTTACTCCTGCAATCAATTCTGTGTGTCAGAAGGACCTGTTTTGTCTTTACAAAGGGGATAAACTGTGAAGAAACACTTGCTTTTCACTCACTCCAGCCAGACATTTTTCTCATTCATTGAGGGACAAAGGAATGGAGAAATTCTTGGATATATGGGACATCCAAAATCAATGCAACTGAAATGAAAATATGGAATAAGAAGTATGGACATTGCCAATGACAAGAATGCATATACCAAGAAGAATTTAGTGATTTAGAGCAGGACAGGTAGCAACACTATGTGAAAAATGCAATCTGAGGAATGATGAACCTCAACAAATATAATGGAGGACTTGTATTCAACTACATAGCAAAAAATAGATTGAAGCAACCTAGACCAACAACAAACAAGAATGTTTGCTAACACAATAGCCAAAGTCTATCTATTCACTTATATAAGCTGCCTGCATGAAGCTACACTCTAGTACAAAAAGATAAACAAATGGCTCTTCTCTTGTATGGGGTTCTGTACCAGCATGTACATGTCCTTTTACAGTAAGACAGCAAACAAGTTGTTTGATACAGGAGGGCTTTGTACAGAAAGTGCATTGAATAAAAAAAACAAAAAAAAAATCTGCTTCTAAGTGCCACTTAGTCTAGTCAACACATCAATTGTTTTTCTTTCATCTTACAGGATGAACAAACAAAATTAACCGCATCCCGCCCGCCATATAGTCCAATGATGGGTGCAAGATGGTTTCCTCGTTCTGGGAGGACGTCATATGATGTCCTCCCATTCTAACCGCGCATGTGTGAGATGGGGAAACAGCTTTCATTGTTTGAACACTGATTGAAGTAAATTAAAAACGTATTGACTGACATTCTGCAATTTAGCCACAAGATGTCACTGTTTTTTTCTAACACAGCCTCAGACTGCATAGAGATTTCTATATTCATGAAGGGGTGGGGTTTGACACTTGGAGAGTGAACAGGAGAAAGAAGGGTAGCCATGCTTGAGAGAGAAGATGGCTGAGTGATCTGAGAATCTGTCGCCATCCAGATGTGAGGACGGCCCTCCGTAATCAGAAATTCACTTGAGTGAAGCTGATGGTGTTGAAGACGCTAACCCTGTTCAAAGAAAGGAAGATTTGCTGCAAGGAAGCTGATGAGAAGAGAGGAGCAAAGCAACATATGCTGCTGATGACATTGCATGCTTAGCGGAGAGACATCTGTTCTGTTCAGAGTCACCAGCGGATGAAAAGCAGACCCAGGTCAGTAAGATCGTGCACGCACCTCATTTCAGTGTTGGCGCCTATAGGACTGAGACAGGCCTATAGTTAGTTAGTTAGGGTCTCTGTTTGTGTTAGGCCACAAGTGTTGTTACTGATCATTGGAAGGACTCCACAACTTAAAGTGACATTTCACATTGGAGAGCTGATAAAATCCTACAAACTCAAGCCAGACTGGCGTTTTGCTCAGAAGGAATACTCAGGCACGTGCTACAGGACCAGTTATGGGAGAGGGAATACTGTAGATTTGTGTAAGCTTGTAAGCTGTTGTGCTGCACCGCAGGCTAGCCCATACCATACACCCATACACTGATTCCTGCTCTTTTAGGGTAATAACAAGTAAGGTGTGGCAGCTTAGTTGTGCCCCCCAGTAGGTAAATTACTACACTTTCTACCTTCATCCATCAGAAGGCGCCGTGCTGTGCAGCACAAGGGTCTCAGCCTTCGGCCTGAGTGTATGTAAATTTATTGTATATTCCAGCATTTGTGGTTTTGTTTATTTGCCACATCTAAGTAAAATTCTGTTGTGACAAAAGCTAGTGTTGGGGTTGCTTTCCTCGTTCGTGACTTCACTGTATCCTGGGGAGCCCACCCCGGTACACGGCTTACACATGCGCGGCTCCGGGAGCACGCAGTGTGGCGATCGGCAGTGTGCTGTGTCCATCAGACACAGCGGATCACCGATCAAAGGAAAGAGCTGAAGATGTCAGTTCGGTTATGTGATTAGCTGTGTCCAATCACAGCTGATCACATGTAAACAGGGAAATGCCAGTTATCGGCATTTCTCTCTTCACGAGCTGTCACGCTGACAACTCGTGAGGAGATGAGAGTCCGTAATCGGCATTCCTCGGAGGGGACATTTACACAGATCATCAGAGCACTGATGATCAGTGTGCCCTGATGATCTGTGTAGCCCCAGCAGTGCCACTTGTCAGTGTCCATCGGTGCCAGCTGTCAGTGCTCATCCATGCCACCTGCCGGTGCCCATCAGTGCCATATATCAGTGCCCATCTGAGCTGCCTTTCAGTGTCACCCATCAGTGTCACCTACCAATGCCAGTCAGTGCCACCTATCAGTGCTGCCAATCAGTGCCACCTATCAGTACCAATCAGTGCCAGTCAGTGCCGCCAATCAGTGTGCATCAGTACCGCCTATCAGTGCCTGTCAGTGCTGCCTATCAGTGTCACCTAACAGTGCCAGTCAGTGCCGCCTAACAGTGCCAGTAAGTGCCGCCTAACAGTGCCACCTATCAGTGCCATATATGACTGCTACCTTTCAGTGCCCATCAGTGATGCCTGTCAATGCCCATCAGTGCCACCTACCAGTGCCTCCTCATCAGTGCCCATCAGTGCAGCCTATCACTGCCCATCACTGAAGCCTCATTAGCGCACATCAGTGAAGTAGAAAAATCACGTATTTACAACATTTTATAACAAAAATAAAAAACCCAGAGGTGATTAAATACCACCAAAATAAAGCTCTATCTGTCACAAAAAATTATACAAATTTTATATGGGTACAGTGTTGCATGACTGCGCAATTGTCATTCAAAGTGTGACAGTGCTGAAAGCTGGAAATTGGCCTGGGCAGGAAGGGGGTATAAGTGTACTGTAGGCTAGTGGTTAAATAGATGCCTATATCTGTGGATGGACAAATTGGCTGAGCTGGGACAAGGAGGGGGGGGGTGGACTGGGGGGAGACAGTAACTCCAGTCCTCATCTGTGGCAGAAGGAGAAGGATTGTTAATAGGCTCTGCAGTGTGCCCGCCTTTCATCACCACACTACACCCAGCAATTATGGAGATGCTGAGCTGGGACAAGTTCAGTCCTCATCCATGGTGGTGGCACAGCAGGCACTAATCTAGGGACATGCTTGCCTGGTCTGGATCTCTAAGGGGAATCCAGTGATATGGGCACTTTTATTGGGCCCTGCAGTTCCCAGATCAGGTGCACCAATTTAGAGTGCACCAATAAACTCTAAGGGATCACTCCTGCCTGCTCTGGGAACTCTAAGTGGCCACTCACTAGCTTTGGGCACTCTGAGGGGTCACTCATCTGCTCTGGGCACTCTAAAGAGTCACTTACCTGCACTGGGAACTCTAAGGGTTCACTCACTCTAAGGGATCACTCACCTGCTCTGGGCACTCTAAAGGGTCACTCACCTGCTCTGGGAAGCACTCTGAGGAGTTACTCACCTGCTATGGGCACTCTGAGGGATAACTCACCTGCTCTGGGCACTCTAAGAGGTCACTCACCTGCTCTAGGCACTCTAAGGAGTCATTTGCCTGCTCTGGGCATGCTGAGGGGTCCTTCACCTGTTCTGGGCATGCTGAGGGGTCACTCTCTGGCTCTTGACACTCTAAGGAGGAACTCCTGCTCTGGGCACTCTGAGGGGTCACTCATACTCTGGGCAATCTGGGGGTCACTCACTTGCTCTGACCACTTTAAAGGGGTACGCTCCTGCTCTCAGCATTCTAAAGGGGGCCCTCACCTGCTCTCAGCATTCTAAAGGGGGCCCTCACCTGCTCTGGCCACTCTGACCAGTCACTCACCTGCTATGGGCACTCTAAGGGGTCACTCACCTGCTTTGGGCACATTATGGGGTCACTCACCTGCTCTAGGCACTCTGCGGTGAAATTCTCCTGCTCTAGGCACTCTAGGGGGGAACTCCTGCTTTTGGTACTCTGAGGTGTCACTTACCTGCACTGGGCACTCTAAGGGGTCTCTCGCCTGCTCTGGGCACTCTGAGGAGTCATTTACCTACTCTGGGCACTATGGGGGTCACTCATCTGCTCTAGGCACTCTGAGGGGGCACTCATCTGCTCTGGGAACTTTAAAATGTCACTCAACTGCTCTAGACACTCTGAGAGGGCACTCTCCTGTTCTGAGCACCATAAGGGGGAACTCCTGCTCTGGGCACTCTAAATGGCCACTCACCTGATCTAGGCACTCTGAGGGGTCACTCACCTGCTATGGGCACTCTAAGGGGCCACTCACCTGCTCAGGGCACTTTGAGGGGGCACTCTCCTGCTTGGGAAATCTGAGGGGTCACTGAGGGGGGGTCACTCACCTGCTATGGGCACTCTGAGGTGGTACTCTCCTGCTCTAGGCACTCTGGGGGGGGAACTCCTTCTGTGCACACTCCAAGGGATCACTCACCTACTCTGGGCACTCTGAAGGGTTACCCACCTGCTCTGGGTACTCTAAGGGGTCCCTCACCTGCTCTGTGCATGCTGAGGGGGCAGTCTCCTGCTCTGGGCACTCTAAGGGGGAATTTCTGCTCTGGGCACTCTGAGGGGTCACTCTTCTACTCTGGGGGTCACTCACTTGCTCTGACCACTTTAAAGCGGTACACTCCTGCTCTCAGCATTTAAGGGGGCCCTCACCTGCTCTGGCCACTCTGACCAGTCACTCACCTGCTATGGGCACTCTAAGGGGCCACTCACCTGATCTGTCACTCTGAGGGGTCACTCACCTGCTCTAGACACTATGAGGGGTCACCCACCTGCTATGGGCACTCTGAGGGGCACTCACTTGCTATGGGCACTCTGAGGGGCCACTCACCTGCTATGGGCACTCTGAGGGGCCACTCACCTGCTCTGGGCACTCTGAGGGGCCACTCACCTGCTCTAAGCTCTGAGATGGAATTCTCCTGCTCTAGGCACTCTAGGGGGGATTTCTTCTTTGGGCACTCTGAGGTGTCACTCACCTCCACTGGGCACTCTAAGGGGTCTCTTCTCTGCCCTGGGCACTCTGAGGAGTCATTTACCTGCTCTGGGCACTCTGGGGGTCACTCATATGCTCTGGGCACTCTGAGGGGGCACTCACCTGCTCTGGGAACTTTAAAAGGTCATTCACCTGCTCTAGGCACTCTGAGAGGGTACTCTCCTGTTCTGAGCACTCTAAAGGGGAACTCCTGCTCTGGGCGCTCTAAGGGTCCACTTACCTGATCTGGGCACTCTGTGGGGTCACTCACCTGCTATGGGCACTCTGCAGGGTCACTCACCTGCTCAGGGCACTTTGAGGAGGCACTCTCCTGCTCTGGGCACATTAAGGGGACATTCACCTGCTCTGGGCACTCTGAAGGGCCACTCACCTGCTCTGGGCACTCTGAGGGGCCACTCACCTGCTCTGGGCATGCTAAGGGGTCCCTCACCTGCTCTGGGCATGCTGAGGTGGCACTCTCCTGCTCTGGACACTCTAAGGAGGAACTCCTGCTCTGGGCACCTTTGCTCTTCCTTTGGGCACTCTGGGCACTCTGAGGTGTCATTCACCTGCACTGGGCATTCTAAGGGGTCATTTACCTGCTCTGGGACCTTTAAAAAGTCACTCATCTGCTCTAGGCACTCTCCTTTTCTAAGCACTCTAAGGGGAACTCTTGCTCTGGGCACTCTTATTGGTTACTCACCTGTTCTAGGCATTCTAAAGGGTCACTCACCTACTATGGGCACTCTGAGGGCTCACTCTCTTGCTCTGGGCACTCTAAGGGGTCACCTAACTGCTCTGGGTACTCTGAGAGGTTGCTCGCCTTTTCTTGGTACTCTGAGAGGTCGCTCACCTTCACTGGGCACTCTGAGGGGTCACTCATCTACTCTTGGCACTCACCTGCTCTGGACACTCTGAGGAGTCACTCACCTGCTATGGGCACTCTGAGGGGTCACTCACCTGCTTTGGGCACTCTAAGGGGGCACTCACCTGCTCTGGGCACTCTAAGGGGGCACTCTTCTGCTCTAGGCATTTTGAGGGGTCACCTACCTGCTCTGGGTACTCTGAAGGGGTACTCCCCTGCTCTGGGCACTTTGAGGAGTCACACCTATTCTCTGGGCACTTTAGAGAGTCAATCACACTCCTCTGGCCACTCTGAGGGCTCCCTTTCCTGCTCTGGGCACTCTAAGGGGGAACTCCTTCTCTGGGCACTCTGAGGGGTTACTCACCTGCTCTGGGCACTCTGAGGGGTCACTCCTGCCTGCTTTTGGGCACTCTCAGGGGGCACTCTCCTGCCTGCTCGGAGCACTCCCAGGGGTCATTCACCTTCTCTTGGCACTCTAAGGGGGAGTTCCTGCTTTGTGCACTCCAAGGGGTCACTCCTATTCTCTGAGCAATCTAGGGAGTCACTGTACCGCTTGCGGCTATTGTGCCCCATGCTTGCGGATCATTATGCTATGCTGAGTTTTTTCTGTTCTGTGCCAGGGGTTAGTTATTATGCTGTGCTGGGTGTTATGGCTGGCCTTGATATGTACTGGCCCTTACACTTGCTGGAGATTATTGCTGACCCAGACACTGGCTAGGGTTTATCATTGCTGGTTCCGTTTGGGCTTGTTTTACTCCAGCAATCAATTCTGTGTGCCACAAGGACCTGTTTTGTCTATACAAAGGGGATAGACTGTGAAGAAACACCCGCTTTTCACTCATGCCCACCTATGGCCACACCCTTTTTGGGCCATGCCCACAAAAGTGCAGTGCGCTCAGCACCCCCGCTTCTGCTCCCAGCACCTACATAGCACCCCTGAATAAAATTGTCAGGTGCCGCCTCTGCTGTTGTGGTTTAGTTAAAGTGCCAGAATAAAAGTGACACACACTTAAAAAATGGCACTTTAGACAGAAAAAGCCCATGTCTGCTGCTCGTCAATGCCATCCCCAGGAGTTGTACTAAGTTTATACTCAGATGGGATGGGGGAAGTTTGGTCAGTTATTCAAATAGAACTGACAAAATGGCTCATGGGTGAGAGTGGAAGTTTTCCACTCTAAATGCATTTCAAAGCAAGATAAAGGCAAGAAGACTGGTCTTTGGGCATGACATGTAATGTAAATCTAACTCAATAAAACAGGAATAAGAAGCAGTTACAATAGTATTAGTAAGGCAAATGTTATTTCCATCATACACAATAGAATCATGTTTGAAAGATGGTTACCAAAGGCAATGGAATATTTTTGTGTTAAAAGTGCAATATATTTAAAGCAGAAAATGGCACTTTAGGCAGAAATAGCCCATGCCTGCCCATTGCCAGTTTATAACAAATTTCTGCTGATATCTCATGAAAGGTCCTGCTTTATGTGGTCTTTGTATGTTTTATTGAGCTGGCCATTATCAATGCAGCCAGACATTTTTCTCATTCATTGAGGGACAAAG